TAACTATTTTATAATATGTCACACTTAATTAGGTTTTGTCCAGTCCACCAAAAAATCAGGTGAATTTATAGAAAAGATAAGTCGTATGCAGTGAAGTGGGTAAAGTAAAAGATTATAGTTGCTAGCTACAATGAGATAGTGTCCTTGGAAGTTAATTCAGTATTATAGAGCATAGTGTTATTTAAATGTGTTTATTTTTCCCTGTTATTTTTAGTTTAAGCTGTCTTAATGCATTGTGACACATTGTATTCTCATGGTGGAATAATTCATGTGCCTTAATTTGTGAAGTTAATATAATTTATACATTATGAATATAAATAAAATATTAAGAATAAAGTTTTATATAATGTAAAGTGTATATAGAAGTAGGCATTTTATACTTTCATATTTGAATCAGAAATATGATTATATATAAACCTAAATAGTAGGATTTAAATAAAATGTGATTTTATCATCATGTAGGCAGGATAGAATGGTCTTGATGAAAGAACAAGAAAATCATGCATTAAGAGTTGCAGTTCTTAATACAATTTGAGTGAATTGTGAAAGCATGTAGCTGTTTGTTTTCATAGATTCCTTCTGAAATATTTGTTAGGTATCTCTTTTATGCCACACTGTTCTTGGTGTGAACATAACAAAGTGCTTGCCTATATTGAAGTTTATATTCTGGGAAGAGATATGCCCAATAAGTGAAAAACAAACGTCTAATGGGGCATATGGTCTAAGTGCTAGCAGGAAAGAAAATCAAGGTAAGGAGACAGAGTGATGGTTTGAGGCAGGGGTAGTATTTTTTTAGGGCTGGCCTCTCTCAGTGAGGGGACATTTGAGCAGAGAGGGAAATGAGGTGCAGGGGTCAGTCACTCTGTTGTTTGAAGACACAGCACAAGAAGCAGAGAGCCCAGCAAATGCAGAATCTAAATTGGGAGCATAGTTTTTGAGTGAAGAATTTGGAAGGAGGTCAGTGTGACAGGAGCAGAATGGACAAGCCGAGAGTGCGAGAAGATGAGGCCAGAGGGAAAGAAACTTTTATGCCATGACGAGGATTTTATTCTGCGAAAGGAAGTCACTGGGAAAATCAGAGCATACAAGTGACATGAGCTGAAAGTTTTGAAAAGATTACTCTCGCCACTGTGTAGAGGCTAGACCTTAGCTTTCTGAATCTGTTATCTTTGAACAGGTGTGGTCTTGAGTTGTAATTAATCCTGGGTTTTTGTAAGCCATGTTTCAATGCCAAAGGTAACATACGAACATCTTCACTGTGTAGGTAGATGATGTTAGTCATGAATTTTGTCATGGTGAGTTGCTGGAAAGATAATTGATTGGCGACACACAAAAAATGATCAAAGAACAGTCATAATTTTCAAAGTGACCGGGAGCTTGGAATAAACCTGGATATATATTTACTCTGTTTTTATGGCCTTCTTAGGCTCTTAAAATTCAGATAAATAATTCTTGGCAAAACTTTCTCCTGATACAGAATTGCTGGTTTGTTTAGCTTCAAAAGAAGCAGAGGAAAGGGAATGAATTTAGAAAGCTTGCCTACTAATATTGAAAACCATATCCTTGCCACCACTTTTCAATTACTAAATTATCAAATTTAGAAGGAATTGGTGGAAACTGAGAAACTGTCAGCAATAGTACAGGGACATAAGACCCCTTATCATTATAGGTGAAATAATCAGTTGATACCTCCTTTTTTGAAGAACATAGAGAAACATATATCAAAAGCGTCTAAAAGTTATCATGCTCTTTTACCCAATAATTCCAATTCCAGGAATTTATACTGAGGCAATAGTCAGAAATAATAAAATAATTATGAGCTATATTTGAAGTAGCTTTATAATTACAAAAAAATGGGAACAATTCAACATTTAACACCAGGCAGTTGGTTAGCCAAATTTTAGTAAAACTTTATTAGAATATTCTGTGCAGTTATTGAAGAATAGTTCTTATTAAATGATACATGGAGACAGTCACAATATTTTGCTAAATGAATAAAATGGGATACAAAATATTATCTATAGTAGTAGAGTAAAAAAATATATACTTAGAAACCTGCCAAAATGTTGACTAGTAGTTATTTCTGAATGGTGAAACTAGGATATTGTTGTATTTTTTATTATTATTATTTCAAGCTTCAAGTAGTGAATGTGTACTCTTTTCATACTTGGGAAAAGTAACATATATTATTTTTTAAATGTTTGTTTTCATAATAGAAAGCTAATACTGTAATGTAATAATATTTTGTTGTTTTAAAAATATCTCAATATCCCAGAGCATTTGAGTGGAAAAGATGTTTTCCCATGAAATTCTCTGTATGAGCCTCTTCCATTTAGCTGCAGATGCTATGGGAACTGACAGTTCTCTTTGCTTTTAATGGTCATCTTTATAGCAGGGTGAAGGAGCAGAGCCTTGAGGGATGAAGGGCTAAACAGATAGAGGAAACAGGGTGATGTGTCACACTCCTGAAACAGGAGTCTCAGCATGCACTGTCCTCCCTTACAGTCGGTGGGAAATGGTCAAGGTTAGACACTGGCTGAGGTCTTGCTTTTAAGTTTCAGTTTCAGAAGAATATCTGAGAAAAAATGACCAAGTGAGGCCTTTTCTGATCTCACACCTAATAAATCCTTGATGCTCAGGCTAGTGTCCCATTTTTGCTAAATCTGAAGCAGGCAGCACCTAACTGTACAGGTTCTCATCGACTTCCAAAACCTAACCCTCCAGGGCCAAGCTAGCTGATGTGGGCAAGTGGTGATTACAGTCCTGAGAAAGAAGGACTACATGCTCCAGGAAATTCTGAGTGAGTCTGTAATTTACAGATTATGCTAGTACTGTTTGGCTTCTTAGAATAGTCTTTTGGTTCAATAGCTGCTAATTGTTTATTTTAGTTATTATTATTGCAAATCATATTAAATATTTTATTAAGGTATCATTGACACAGAACATTATATTAACTTCAGGTGTACAACATAATGATTCGCTAATTGTATAGTAAACCATATTTCTTTACAGCCTGTGGACTACTTGGGGAAAAGCCTAGATGTCCTGTTGGCTCTGATGAAACAGAGCTTCAGTAATTGATACCAAATCAGATTTCCCCCTACCCTCCTGTCCTGCCAACCTTGGGATTTCTGTTGCTTAGTAGGTCAAGCAGATTTATATACAAAGACCTAAAACACTTTATTTAGACTCTCTAGTTAAACAGTGCCAGCATTAGTATAGTGGGAAAGATGATATCTAACTTATATATACTATGCTATAAAGTTCCTAAAATAAAGATTGACTTGATTAAAAAAAAAACAACGATAACCTAATTGTCATGAGTTGATGTCATCTCTCAACTGTATTATTACTAAAAAAAAAAAAACCTTTTTGTATTTGGTGGATTGGATGAGTGAGGAAAACTGATGGCCAAAGACTTCTTACAGAGAATACATTTGACCTATGTGATGCACTTCTTTTCACTTCCACATTTTTTTCTCTTAAGATTAATGTAGTTAAGTCATTCCATTTTTCCCCTGAAAGCCGTATGAACCAGATATCTCACTATTTGTTTCCAAACACAGAGGGATGAGTAAGTAACTAACTGCCTCTTAGCAATTCACCTTAAACAGCAAGGGATCACATTCTAGTTCTGCTTTACTTGAAGTACAGTCTTTGGATCAATTGGATCAGACTATCTGAGAGGAAAGAAAGCAAGAAAGTAAGAGTAAAGGGAGGCAAATAAAGAAAGGGAGAGAAAGATAAAGAGGGAGCATATTTTGGAGAAACTATGTTTTTATATAAAAGGGATAATCTAGTTCTAGTATTCTTTTGTGAGCTTTTGTTAACCAGGAAGTGGTGTAATGATAGCTGTCAGAGATTTAGAGACACAGGTCATCAGATGATAAGCAAGGGATGTAGACAGGGATGTGTCAGAAACTAAAGACAAACTTAATGGATATTACAGGGTTGCCTAGAATTATATCAAGGTGGGAGTTAATACTTACAATAAACATGCTCATCATTTCATCTATTATTATTTATTAGATGCTCGTGCTTAGTCACTCAGTTGTGTCCGACTCTTTGCAACCCCACAGACTGTAACCTGCCAGGCTCTCTGTCCATGGAGATTCTCCAGGCAAGAATACTGGAGTGGGTTGCCATGCCCTTCTCCAGAGGATCTTCCCAACCCAGGGACCGAACCCAGGTCTCCCTCATTGTAGGCAGATTCTTTACCAACAGCCTCCAAGGAACCCCCATTAGGTGCTTAGGCACTTGCTAATAAATTAAATATCAACATGTTCTACATGTATTATTTCATTTAATGCTCCCATCACTAAGATATCTCTTTTTGACAGATGAGTATATTGAAGCGGAGGCTGAGCCTTAGGCCAAAGAACTTCCGCAAGGTGACACAGTTAGTATGGAACTTGAACTTTTTAGGTCTTTGCGTTCCTAAAGCTCAGTCCTGGTAATCAGTGCAGGTAAACAGAAATGTCTGCAGCAGCTTTTACTGTCAAATTTATAGGAATTATGTAATATCTTTTCTGCTGTGTCCACATGGAGTGTTGGGGTCACATCACTGAAATCTACTACTGGATGAAATGCTTATAGTATAGTCAGTTCTGGTAGCTTTAGAGATCTAAAAGAATAGTGATGATTGGGATTCTAAAAGCCATAACATGTTTCTAAAAAGGAAAAGGCAACTAAATTCCCTTACAGTTATTTCATTGCATGTGCCTTTGGCAAATCTGTCACTGCTTCTGGCTGTTGCCTTTTGTTTTGTTTTTTTTTAATGCAAGTATCTCTTTGCATGGATTTTCTTTACTTCATGATTTCCTATTTTCTTTTCATTTTGAAATCATAGCTTGAACATTGTTTAATACTGACATTTAAAAAACAGGGTCTTAACTTAATGTGAATGCTTTTAAATTAACCCCACTTGCTGCTGTTTCATTTACAATGTTTCCTTGACCTGTTTTTAATGCCTTTTGATATTTTATGTGGTCTCCAATCAGTTGAACAGGTAGTAGCTGAAGCTGTGGGCTCGAGCCTCCACTGCCACTATGACTCCGAGTCTGGTGTTAGCAGCACAGACGAAGGAGAGAAGCTCTCAAGGAAGCTGGAGGCTGACACAGGTGCAGGTAAGGGTGCATCATTACCTAGGAAAGACCTTCAGAAAGCCTTCCCATCTTTCATCTTCTTATCCTGTTTCCGTCTTTATTTTCTTTTTGACCAGTGAATGTGATGGCAGGAGGTGAGAAGCATTATGGGGAGCTTTGGAGCTGACATCCGATATGAAAGTTATCATTCTTTTTTGGAATACATTGGTACCTAGAGTTTGTTTTTTAAAAAAGGATTTCAGATAATAAAAAAAGGACTGCAAATAACAGAGAATATTGGTAGGGATTTTCAGACCAATCTTATGTTTTAGCTTGTCTCCCAGTTAGGTGGATGTGCCTAACTCACCTATAGGAGACTTGAAGAGCCCAGACACATTTCATGATGATTTATCTGAACTCCTTATTTTTAAAAATTAGGCAAGAATTCATTGCCATCAGCAAATGACCTGGCTCGTGATGATGAGTGTTCCAGCTGCAGGAGTGCCAATTAGAGTGACTCAACAGACCATGACTCATACATATCTAGTCACACAGCCCGTGTCCTTGAAATCAGGTTTCCCTGTATTTAGTAGATAACTTTTAAAAAATACCCCGATTTGAATACATGTATGTGTGTGTGTGGAAGTTAGGGGAGGGAGAGGGGGCTCCATTGTATTCATCATGTGGTCACATTACCCCCCACATCCAATTTTTAATGATGGGCATCAAGCCCTGTAAGGTATTTGAGATTTCACTCTATTTTCAAGCAGACAAATTAGCCAGTTTCACAGATGCATCAGAAGATATAAGATTCCTGGGTCAGAGAAAAAGGACTTTGTTACCCAAGACAAATAATAGCAGCCAGGTGATTTGCACTTAGACTGGCTCCCTGAGCTCAAGTTCCCCAGGGAATGTGGAGACGGCCAGGTGACACCCGAACTTGAGTGGACTGAATTGCAGAAGGACTCTGGGCTTCCAGAATCCAAGTCTTTCATAGTGGGCATTCAACCAGAGGAGTTCTCATGTACCTCCCCAAACTTCTGCAATGCAGGCAGAGTGGTTGTTGTCTGTTAAATCTGATTCAAGCAAGAAAATATCACATATTGTATGCAGTGAGAGGGGAATGTGGAAAGAAGATTTGTTAGGGCTCTCTATGTGCCAGGCACTGTGCCAAACATTTTGTGGTTTGTTCTTACAAAGATTCTGTGAGTCAAGGATTGCTATCATCACTTTATGGATAAGAGAATGAAGGCTTAGAGATATGCTTCCCAAGTTCACACAACTATGTGGCAGAGCTGGCATTCTCACCCAGATCTGTCTGACTCCCAAGTACACACTCAGTCACTAAATCAAATTGCCCCTGTTTGTGAATATTACTTGATTTCTTATAATCGTTTTTTTTTTTTTTTTTCAAAAAGCCCATGAGGTTGCTAGCAAAAACACATCATGTTTTTGTATTGATATTTCTTAGAAGGGCTTCAATTATGCTTTCTCCCTTGCTTCAGGAATGTCATATCTGACTCCCGTGTGTGTGTGTGTGTGTGTGTGTGTGTAAAAACTCAGCTAGGTGCCATTAGCACTTTTTCTCTGAGAGTTTAGGCACAATATATTATTACATAGTGGCTTGGCAATTTTATCACCCTGTATTCATGAATGTTCTTTAATTAATCCATAAATTTAGAGGTCAACTTAGCAAAACAGAGGACTTTCTTAAATGTTTTTTATAACTGACTATTGAAATATACTTTCACGCAGGAATTTGAATAGTAATAGATATACTATTAAAGAGACTTGACATGTTGTTTCTCATGGCTTTCATTTAATTTTGTTTTAAATCTAGTCATCTGTAATGAAATAAAGCAAACCATATTCTTTCAGGTGTACTGGCTCCATGGAAGCCCATTTGGCTCTACATTTAGTGTAATAAATAACCGCTGTGGTAAGCTGAGGACCTCCTGTAAAAGTTAACAGCACCCTACCGATAGACCTGAGGTTTCTGAGGTGCTGTGTGTCTGAGTTAGTTGTGTCTGATTCTTTGTGACCCCACGGACTGCAGCCCCCCGGGCTCCTCTGTCCATGGGGATTCTCCAGGCACGAATACTGGAGTGGGCTGCCATGCCCTTCTCCAGGGGATCTTCCCAACCCAGGGACGGAACCCAGGTCTCCTGCATTGCAAGTGGATTCTTTACCATCTGAGCCACCAGGGAAGCCCAAGCAAACTGGAGTGGGCAGCCCATCCCTTCTCCCGGGGAAGTTTCTGTTACTCCTTTGAATGAATATATCAAAAGTTACCTTCCAAATACATTTTTAAAGGGAAATGTAATATCAGCTGTTATTGTCTAACTTCATAAAGGCTTGTTTTAATAGCTGGTAAGAGGCCAAGAGGAGGAACAGAGGACAGCCATCTGTGGCGTTAGGAGAGGAACTGCAGTTATAGGACAGTCCCAGATGGGGTAACAGAGTACAGATGAAGTGAGTAAGACCAGGGCTTTCAGTTTCTGGGAGATTGTTGGTGATGGGGTAGGGGTGTGATGGTTAGCCAAAAGGGCAAGCAAGAGAAAACCATGAGGAAGATACACTTGCCTACTTTATACATTTATACCATTTGGAAGTTGGCACCCTGGCATTATAACTTCTTTTGTAGAATCTATTCCAGTGTCTTCTACAAACAATGAAGATTAGATTGATAGAAAGCACTGAGAGAGGACCATCTGAGAAGCTCTAATCTCCCTAAGTATTATTCTGCAGTTGAAAAATTTAAATGCTTTGGCCTTTGGTCTGGAATGCTTTTATTTATTTTACGTGGATCACTGCAACAGAAATGCACATATTTGCTAAAGGATAAGACATCTATCTGAAGCCTTTTAAGAAACACATTGAACCTGTATTTATTGAAGTATGATAGCTAACACACCCAGATTTGCAGGAAAGTATGGATGAGAAACTTATGAATTGCTTCAAGTAGGTTATTTATGTTGAAAATTGTCCCAGACTACAAAGTCCTGTCTTGCTCTGTGATCCCCTTTTGCCAAAGGCAAATCAATTTCTGGAGGTAGAGGGGAGGTATTCTGACCTACAACACAAATTTGTATCTATAGTAAAAAGTCTTACCTTGAGCTATGAAGTTATTTGATGACTAAATTTAGATATAGTAGCTTTAATGGGAGCAATGTATGGGATAACGATCAGTTCATATTGTATTATGATTCTGTTGCTAAATGCTCACCTGAGTACAAGAGAACTAGGCTGAGAACAAGCATATTATGGTCCTGTAGGGAACAATGATCACTAAAAGGAAATCCTCACTCTTTTCCTTGTTACATAATTTTTTCTGCAAGTCCTAACATTTCATTTGAAAGTGAGATATATGTATGTGTGTATGGGTGTGTGTGTGTGTGTATAAAAAAGAGAGTGAGGGAGAGAGACTTTATTATTCTAAGACATGGATTTTGTTTGTTTTCAACAGTTCTGATGTTCAATTTCCTTTAATATCAATGTCCATTAAATTTGATAGCTCTTTTTTTTTTTCATCCCGAAAAGCCATTATTAAATCACGGTGCATGTTACAGCTGATGGCATCCTAGAACTGAGGAAATGAAATATAATATCAGCAGCCCCTTGATATTATATATAAATATCTCATATATAGAAAATTATATGTAATGTCTCCTCCTGCACTTTGATTAAAGTAACCTTGATTTCTAATCTTATTTTATAGCACTGGATAGGAATCTAGTGGTGGAGGAAAGGACTGCACTCAGCTCAAACAAGAAATCCAAACAAGTTGCATCAGAAGAGCATACCCTGGAGAAGAAAGAAGCAGTGGAGGAAGGCGAAGGTCCCCAACACAGGGATGCTGACGCAGAAGAAAAAGGGGATGCAGCTCTGTGGGGAAAAGCTGAGGTTAATGAGGTTCCCTCAGGGCAGGGGAAGCCAAAAGCAGAACAGCTGGCATTGGTAGGACAGTTTACAGAGGAAAGAGAGCTCTCTCAGGGCATAGCAGTTGAGGCAGAGGCAGAAGCAGAAGGGGATAGAAGACAGGATAAAGAAGGGTTAGGCGCCAGAGAAGAAGAAGCAGCAAAAGACTCTGGAGGTCCGAATGAAGGTGAGGCTGCTGAGGCACGGGTCTTGATGCAAGCAGTGCTGGAGACGGAGAAGGCAGCTTGTGAAGGTGGGCAGGCTTCAGAGGGGGCGTTGCTGGCAAGTCAGGCAGAAGCTCTGAACTCAGGGTGTGCTCAGGAGACAGCGGCCCTGAGAGAGGCAGTGAGGCCAGAGGAGGGAAAGTCTGAGAGCGCGGCTGTGAGCGCAGCTGGGTCTGCAAAGCCAGGCATGGAGGACAGTGAAGAGGAAGCGTGTACAGACCTAGAGGACAGGGGACCCGTGGAAGATGCCACATCTGACCGAGAGGAGGGCTTAGAAGAGGCAGTGCTGGGGCAAGACGAGTCGACCAAAGGGAGAGAGGCAGTCACGGGAATGGAAACACCTCTGAGCTCCTCCACTTCTGAGAAGGTTGAGGCTACTCAGACGGGGAGTTCAGTGGACAGCCTGGAGGGACTTCGTAAGGACCAGGTGGAAGAGGAGGAGGTGGTGACGGAGTCAGAGTCTAATAAAGATGATGCTAGCAAAGAAGTGTTACCTGAGGAATTAGACTCAGAAAAGAGAGAGAGGAGGAAAGCTGAGAGGTCAAAAACACCTCTGGGGGAAACTGAATCTGAGAGAGAAGAGGTGACAAGGGCAAAGGCGCTTCAGGATGAAGACACTTTAGAAGAGGAACAACATCTTAAAGGGAAAGAGGGGGAACCTGTGCAGGAACAAAGGCCAGAGGAAGAGACACAAGCCTCCCCAAATGAAACGGAGCGTGATGCCGAGGATGAAGCAGCCATGGGGGCATCTGAAGCGACTGAAGACACAGGGCAACAGAGAGAAGACTCACTGAGAGACAGGGAGGTGGGCGCGTTTGAAGCAGCCCCTGGGTTTGAGAAGTCCCTAGAAAACAGAGCGGTTTGGGGGAAAGGAGAAGGAGGGGAAAGGCTGAGAGATGCTGGAGCTGCAGAGTACAGAGGCTCAGCGGGGCTGCTCTTTGGTGAGAATGTGGCCCACGAAGAGCAGGAAGAGGGGTCCACCCCTGCAGGAGAGGGGGTGTCAGGAGCTCCCGAAACCAAGTCCACAGGGAGAGCGCAGACTCCCAGGGATGCAGGCAAGGCCCAGGGGTCTGCAACCACAGATCAAGACATGGTTGCCAGCCAGGAGGAGAGGAATAAAGACGGGCCTTTACAGGGGCCAGAGGGAGTAGCCGTCACAGCCTTGACCCAAGATGTTCCCGAGGGAGATTCCATGATGGCAGGAAAACTCAGTGACGTGATGGTTGAGGACGCAGAGAAGGAGGTGCATGAAGAGTGCACTCTGGGGACAGGAGTGACGAAGAATGGGGACCCTAAGGCGGACGGGAGTGCGCATGGCGTGGTTATGACTGTGGAAGATCCCCATCAAGGAGGAGGAGCCTCAGAAGAAGCTGCAGGGAGGGAGGACGATTCTGCTGAGGGGAAAATAGAAGCAAATAAAGTCTCCTCCTTTTCAGATGGTGCTGGGGAGGAAGCTTGGCACACAGTGGGTGAGATGCCAGGAGAAACAGCAGTTGCGGAGAAGGTGGCCGTAGAGGGTACAGTGCTGAGCGGGGAGGATGTGCCCATGGCCAAGGAGATGACTGTGATTTCGGCACTGGAGGCTGAGGCTGAGGCTCCAGGGGAACCTTCTAACCTGGAAGGGAAGGCCCCAAAGCCAGGGCCAGCTGGGGAGGCAGAGAAGGCTGAAACCACCCTGGGGGCTGAGTCTGAGTCGGTGGGAGAGGAGGCAGGGATGGGGAGTCCTGATGGGGAGGAGGAGTCAGGGGAAGCTGAAGAATTTAGACTGGGATTATCCCAAGAGAGCGGGTCAGAGGCCAGGAGGGAGAGTCCACAGGATGCAGAAACACTCCCTGAAAAGCCCAACTGTAGGGGAATCCAAGAGAAGCAAGAGCTTTCAGTGCAAAAAGGAAGTGAGGACCTGGATGTTTCCTTGAGTCCAAGGAAGGCCTAAGAGACTTCATGGCTGATGGTGAGTTTAAGCCCAACCTGTTTGCAGGATTACACAGATCTCCCACCTGGGGTCTCTTCTCCTGCGGGCTGTCTCATCCCTTTATCAGTGCCTGCACACACACAGGCTTCAGTTCTAGGGGCTGGTGAGCCCAGCAGGATGGGGGCTGGGCGAGATGGACAGGCAGACCAGAGGCATACAGGGACCCATTTCTAGACCCTCTACACCTCGAAATCCCAGCCTTTGCCGTTGCAAGCACAGCACTCAAGGAGTGAGATCCTCCTCTCTCTTACAAGGCCAGGAAGATGGATACAGAGGAGAGCGTGAGCCATGGGGACAAAGGGAAAAAGGCTTAATTTGCCTTTAAATGGGTTCTCTGTCTTCGTTTCTGAAGTTCTGTGAAGTTTAATAAATATACATAGCATAAATTAGTAAAATAAAATATTTGAAACGTGTTAAAAAATATATGTATATTTGTAAAATACTGATGATTGTAACTAAAGACCAAAATTATTTCTAGCATTTCCTTGTTTCCACTCTTTGCACGATGTATCCTTACTGCCTGAATCCTACTATTCTGAGTGATTATATTCATAGTTCTATCCTTTTTAGTGTCTTTCAGGATATTTTCAAGATGTCTTCCAGAAGACTTGGAGTGGAGGAGAAGGAATCACCGGAATATCTCACCAGGACTTTTTTTTTTAATCCGTGTGCTTGTCTGAGCGATTCCCAATCTGCCAGCTGGTCTGTAGCACCTCAAGCACCTTGAGAAGAGGTGCTCAGCTCCTTCCCAGAGTGCTGGTTTCTGATGGAGGACTGGAAGGCTCTTACCTAATTCCACACAGTTACCATGTCCATATTCAAATCAAACTGATCATTTTCAAATGCTTGACTTTTACCAAAGATTACCGGAAAGGCCCAGTCTTGATATCTGGGGTTTCTTTAAATTCCTATTTATTTATAATCACATCTTAGTCCCAGCTTCATACACGAGCATTTGATTTAAGATCTTTGGCTTTGTCTGTGAAAATTAGCTCTAAACATTCTTCCAGGTACCTTCAGTGCTAAAGATTGCTCCAGACCTTTAAGTCCTTCCAGAAGAGGGTTCCATGGCATGCCTAAATAGACTTACAAATAGTCATGCTTTCCATTTATGCCAGATCAGTAATTTAAAGTCTAAATCTTATTTCAAAATGCCCTTTCTTTTTGCATGTTTCTATAGTCTTGCTTTCTGAGGTGAACAGGTAAATCCTTGTGGCATTTTATCCTTGGGGGACTTCTTTATAGGGCCACTCAAATTAAATTAATGTAGTGAATAATTTAGCTGAGTAAAACGAGTGACAATCATTACAGCAGGTAAACATTGCACATCAGCCTGTATGCCAGCATTCTAGACTCTAGACTGTGGTTGGTGTCATTCAGTGGAAAAGAAACTTGGATTAAATTAGCATGCTGCTCACCTTCCCAGGTTCTGTTATTTCAAACCTGTGAACTAACCCTGCAATGCATTGCAAATCAATGGTCATGACTGCTTTCTAAATTACCCCTGCCCCCCATATCACTAGAAATAGTTGTATAGCTGTGTCTCTTGGGGATTTCAATTTCCCTGTGACATCTCTGTTCATACACCAGTGTCCCGAAGAGCACATATGTTTGGTTATCTTTTCATTATGTAAGGAGGTGAAAGAAGATGCCCTAAAGCAGTGATTCTCCAGTTACGCTACACATTAGACTTTCATGGGGCACTTTCATGAATGAATCAACCCTTGATCCTACCCCAGGGATTCAGATCTAATTAGTTTTAGATGGGTGTAGGCATTAGTTTTTTGTTTTGTTGTTTTAATTTTTCAGTTGATTTTACTATGTAGAAAAAGTTGAGAATTGCTGCCCTAATCATTATACAGTCCACACTGGTTGCCCTATGTCCCTAAAAATCAGGCATACTATCTTTATTTATTTTTAATCTTTAGAAGTGTGTTTCATTTTAATAAAGGAGTCATTCAGTGATCAAAGGTATTAATATAATGGACCAGTGGTTCGCAAAATGTGGCCTTGATCAGGATATCAGCATCACCTAGAACTGTTCCAAATACAAATTCCTGCCTTCATCTCATACCTGTTAAATTGGAAACTCTGTGGGTGGGGCAGAGCAATTGGTGTTTTAACAAGCCCTCTGGGTAATTCTGAGGTACACTATAGTCACAGACTATTGATTGTATTGAAGATTAGTCTCAGTTGGAAAATGGGTTGCAGAAGTACTGTGAACTTTGTCTTTCTTTCTGTCTCTTCTACCCTCTGTGTCTCTTCTCTCTTTTCACTTGAGGAAATGATGGTCACTATAAAAGTGATGACCTTAACTTTAAACTCATTTTTATTATGACTGTAATGATATATATGTGAAACTCTTCAGCCCCACCCCCTTTTAAGGATGAACATCACTCATGGCACATCATAGATCTCCACTGTCTTACATTATAAAATAGCTTTCCTCTCCATTATATCCAATTTCATTTGTTACTGAGCTGCATTAGTGTGGAGTTCTACAGTATTTTTTCTTTGATCTCAACCTCATTGCTACAGAGCACTTTGAATACATAGCACCTTATGGGAGAGATTATGAACTTGTTAATTCTATTGAAGAATTCATTTTGTACAATGTGCTAAGTGGAAATTGCATTGGATTATTTTATATTTAACACATTCCATCAAAACACATTCTGTAAAATTATACTACAATCTGCATGTGGGTTTAACTGTGAAATTCAGTGTTGTGATATTTCAATGAAGTGAATTCTTTCTCTGAAAATACTATGTTGATAAAATTATTTATGTGTTCAACTGAACTGATTTTTTCCCTAGTTTCATTATTAAAAGCATAAATAAACCATATGTATATATATAAGATATAAATGATCCTTTACAAGTAAGACTAGACTTTTAAAATCTTTTTTGTCATTTCCTTAAAATTTAAACTCCACAGAGTAGAGCAGAGAGAATTATTTTCATTGGTCTGTATTTTTAAGTATATGTGTTTATATTCACTCTATATTCACATATGTCTTTCACATACATGTAATAATGTCAGAGAGGAAAATTGTTATCACTATTTCATAGATAAGCAAATAGAAGTTCAATTAAGTGACTTGTCTAAAATCATAATCAGTCTCAGGTCTTCTCACTCCAAACTCTGACTTTTTAAAAAATCCCATACACTTCCTTCTAGGAAAAGGAATATTAAATAGATACTAAGGTATTATATGTTAATCTTTACATATTTTTGTTTACTTTGTAGAGGTAAAAATCAAACCTCATTAATATATATTGTATCAATAAGAAAAGGGTTACTGTTCCAGTCAGTATCAACCAAAGAATATGGTAGATTATTTAAATAATTCAAAAGAAAAATAGACAACCAAAGTAAAGATAGGCAGAATTAGGTTTTGAATTTCTTTCTTTTTAAAATAATTTTATTTTTAAAAGTATTTATTTATTTGGCTGCACCAGGTTTTAGTTGTGGCATTCAGGATCTTGAGTTTTGGCATTTGAACTCCTAGTTGCATTATGTGGGATTTAGATCTCTGACCAGGGATGGAACCTGGGGCCCCTGTGTTGGGAGTTTGAAGTCTTAGTCACTGACAGCCAGAGAAGGGCCTGAATTACTTGAGTGAAGCTTTTTCTATGACTTTGTAAACTCTTGTGTTATAAATTTAAATTATAGTTGAGATTTTTAAAACTTCTAAGATCAATAATTTTGATTGCCATGGGAAATCATTATTTAAGAAAAGAAGACTGTAAAAAAGATTCATCTAGCATGTGAAATATTCCAACAGCTTCAAGGACTGTGGCCCTTGAGAGGACACATCTGACCTTGATAACATTTTCTTCTAGTCTTTTAAACCACCTGATTGTGTCATTTGAAAGATGTTCCCAGTTACGTGGCCAGAAACAAGAGGTACAAAAGAACAGGGAATAAATACAACTGGAATTCTTTAAAAGCTGCTCTCAAACTCACCCTTTTTCCCCTTTTATTATGTTTTCTCCTTCCCTCTAATATCATGCCCTGTGACAGGAAAACGATGCTTTTCAAAATAACAGAAAACATAAGCTCTACAATAAAATGCTAGATGTTTGAGAATGCACACTCCCTTTGAAATTCCAAACAGAAGTCTCAGACTATTTTAATAATCTGTGCAACCATGTCATATTTTGGAGTGATGCAAACCCCCATTCTTATTCGAGAAAATGAGGTACATAGAAATATCTGGAACAGATAAGCTGCTACCAAAGAATATAGAAGAACTAACTCTCTGCCTCCTTTGTCAAACGTTTCCTGGTCTTGCTAACACCTGCTTATAATCAAAGGGTATAGGAGGGGCAAAATGATAGGAGAAATCTCACCCTTGTTCAGAAGCTTGGTACTAATGTGACACAGAGACCCTCGAGCTAGTGTGGTGTTTCTCTGAGGGGAGGTGAAGCTTTTCAAAGGATGCATGAAGGCTACTTTGCGGATGTCAACCTCCATATACACTTTTGTCATAAAATGGACCTGCCTGAGGTCTAGCCTGAGTCAAGGTCTTCCCTTTTGCCAATCTCCCACTCTCATTCATAATAAAGGCCAGCTCTTCATCCATTTACCACTTTTACTGTGTTGCCTCTGGGATGACACAAAATGACAAAGAAACAATTTGAAATATGGTGCAGGTATTGAGAAAGGGAATGACCTTAATGGCTGGTTAATAAATCCTTCTACAATTCAAGTGGTTTTCAGCTGTTTTCAAGAAAACTAAATGAGAACCTAATTGACTTGTCAGCTGATAAGCCTCTTAAATCTTCTTTGGTATTTTGTCAGTCCTTCATTTTCAGTAAACCACTCAGGAGTTCAAAGCGGAGCATTGCTGCACAATACAAGCGAACTACTTCCATTCCCATTGCTTATTTATGTGACGTGCACAGATACTCTACTTATGTGAGTGTTAGTCGCTCAGTCATGTCCAACTCTTTGC